ATGATCGTGTTTAGTTTGGTTTGAAGATTCAATAGCATTCATTTATTATTTCTGTGAGATAGTGGTATTGTGATTTATGTGTGACTGATTCATGATGTATATGTAACTAATTCATGTTTGGTTTGTGTATTTGAAAGGTTTTCAACCTATATCTACTGTTCCATCACTGATCTATCAAATCACCTTCAAGAAACTATATCTACTGTTCCATCACTGATCTATCAAACCATCTCAAAGAAAATAAAGAATCAAGAAGTGAACAGATTGAGTTGTCCTTTGCGTTCTTCGGTGTGAAAAGCAGTTTTCAAGTTTGGGCTGAGCTGTAATCAATCAAAAAACAAACAGAACTTGACAATGAATGTAGATGTTTGAAAGTGTCTGTACAATATAAAATAAAGAGAGTGATTTTATATCACAGGCATAATGAGACCCAGTAAGGATGCGTCCGCAAGTAATCGCATTCACAAGTGAATCTAAATGAAAAACATTGCTGCTGTTGACCGTTTGGACAATGTGTCCCTGAAGAACATCTATAAAGCACTGAGAAAGGGATATTCTCAATTACACTCCCCATAATGGGAACGATTGTTTCTCGTTCTCAACTGTTTATCATTGCGGTTATCGAGACGTTTATGGTATTCACAATGGAGCAGAAATAATGAGAGAGGAGTGGGTGGGTTAAACATCAGGGTGAACTCGCATTATTCCAACCCCCATCAGCATCAGAGAACCATAAAACCCCACAAATGATAATTGTAATGGTCTATGCATGTAGAAGGGGTGGATTGTAAGCTGGAGCTGAATTTCCCTGCATGGTTTGCGCTGCACAGCTAATTGTGTAATTGTTAGCATGACTGAGTGCGCTTCTTCCAGGCACGCCGGTGGCTCTGGAAAGGACCAAAGTATAACTGAATTAATCTAATCAGAAAATAATTATGCTTGCCCCAGAGAGAGTTGGCTCAAATTTATCAAGCTCTTTTTTTTTTTCCGTTAAGCACGCCGCAGAGATGGGATTTGCCCATCGGTCCGGGTCCCAGTTCTTACAGAGGAGATGAGCGCGATAGGGGGGCAACGTTAGCGCAAGCTGTACACCTCCAGACAAAACGCAGTGGAGACGTCCCATTTCCAACGTCACTTAAGTTTAATCGGAGACATATATACGTACAAGGGTGTCACGTTCCTCAAGACCCTCCCATCCGAGCCAACGGCAAGTCCCCCGTAAGAAGATTCCAAAACGCAACTGAACGGATGACATCTTCCCGCGTCTCAAGTGTGCGCGTCTTCCTTTAGATAAATGACACCGCCATATAGGTGCGCTTGACAGCTATCAGATTGGAGCAGAGAAGAGAGAACTTTTTAAGTGAGATGGGTTAGCTGGGTAAATCTATCAAGGGGTCTGTCCTGGGAGAGAGGCGGGAGAGAGGGCTATGAAGAGCCCCGCTGTGCAGCAAGCTTCCATGCTGCGCACATCCTCAGCTCTCTGACAGTTGTGCTCAGCCTTCACTGTAATAATGAATAAAAGGAAACTCCCTGTAGATTACATATCTTCCATGTTTTGACATTGACCTTAATACATAATTTAACCACAAAGCCTGAAGAGTGTGTAACAAGATAAGATAAGACCAGAAGAAAACCAGCAAACAAGGGTGATGCTAAGTTGCAAATTGGATCCAAGAGGACACAACCGGAGAGATAAGGAGGAGAGGGACAAGTGACAAGGCGAGAGAGGGAGAGCGTACGCGTGTGAAGAGTGACGCTCCAGAGGGCCTGCTGGAAAAAATGTCTTGAGCTCCTTAAAGAGCTCAGGGAGCTGTTGAACAGCCTAAGCAGCGCTCTCGATGCCACCTAGTTAATAATTGCTGAGATTGGCTGCTCTGAGCGCAGACGTGCTGCTGGCATCTGTGTTCCAGTGAACGCCACGGAAAGGCTGCAGCGTTTCACCTCTTTCTAAATTCCCAGCGGCCCAAAGATTGGTTCATCTTAATGCCGCCACGTTTGAACCATGTATCTACTGTATACAACGTGCATTCGCGTATGCTGCGGAGATTTTAAATCGTATACAAATTTGTTGTCAAGTGTGTTTTCTCAGCATTATGAGGCCATTTGTTTTCGTCAATGTGTATATGTGGCGGTGTGAGCGATGAGACAGCCCCTTTGGAGCGCTTGTTGAACTCTTCTATCTGCTGTGCATGCACTATATGACAGGAAAGGGACAGCCGTAAAGAGCCATCACATCAAATTGGTGTCATCGCATGACAATGCAGTTTGACATGCTGTTACTCCATAAATTTGAAGAAAATGTCACACGCAGCTCTGTGTTGACCTTCCTTTAGCATGAAACTGTCTCCCTGGAACAGAATGTTTTTATTTACAGGATTTTCTAGTAAGTGAAATAATAAAATGTTAATATTTTGAATTGAGTCAGGGCTTTTTTTCTCACTAAAAAAGAACTATTATTGTCATTTTCTTCTAATCCAGACTTCTCACACATTTTTTCCCAACACTGATTATTTATACTTGGAGTCTGCCCACATGCACTCACATATCAAAACATTAGGTGGCAGTACGGAATATCCCATAATTCATGCTAATGCTTGACACTATGCAAATGAGGAATGAACAAGCTTTCCTACTTCTTTCAGAGGAATAGTTCCAGTGAAAAATGTTCCTATACAGTACATACATTTCACTGTAGTTTCCAGATAAAATTAACACGTGATGATTCCCTCAGATTCCAGATTTTCAAAAGGTTGTACAGAGATCGCGGTCAAATATTGTCCTATAACAAACCATACATCAATGGAAAGCTTATTTATTTAGCTTTTTGTATACATCTCAATTTAAATTTGTTTTACCCTTGTGACTGGTTTTGTGGTCCAGGGTCACATATTAATAATGCCTTATTCTGTTATCCCTAATACACTACCTAAATGTAACAGCTATCTTACTAACTATTAATAAGCAGTAAATCAGAGTTTTTTGAGGCAAAACTCAAGTAGTTAGTAGTTCATTAATAGTTTGTTAACCAGTCTTTTCTGACATAGCAAACTTGCTTGGTAGTGTACTTAGTTCAGCATTGCTATTTTGCGATGCAGAGCGCTTAGATACAAGTCCCATGAAACACAAGTAACGACACTCCAAAAAAGAGCTCAAAGCCTCCTGGAAGGAAGCTAAAACAGCATTGTTGTAATAAAATGTTGCATGATACGTGCATTAAACAACGTAATAAAATGTCGCCAAAGTCACTTTTAACTGTTTCTGAGAAAATGTAACACCCTACACTGTAAAAAGTGAACAGTTGGATCAACTTAAAAAAATTACTTCAATTGGTAACACCTAAAAAAATTAAGTTCTCTCAACTTAAATTATCACATTTTCTCAACTTAATTTTACTAGGTCAATCACACTTAAATTATTTGAGTTCACTCAATCCTATTATTTACATTAGTCTGACTTAATTTCACTGCATTCCAACTTAAATTTATTAATTTTTCCTACAGTTGGATCAACTTAAAAAAATTACTTCAATTGGTAACACCTAAAAAAAATAAGTTCTCTCAACTTAAATTATTTTATTTTCTCAACTTAATTTCAGGTCAATCACAGAAGACTCAAATTGCTGGAGAAATATTTATTAACATTAATTCATTTTATACACCATCGGTATTTTTCATATTACAAACTTTGAGAATTTTTTTTACAAACATTTGTTGTGCCAATGAAATTCCATTTACTGACACACTTGTTCCATTAACAGTTTTTTTGCAAAGTTGCCTTTGCACTGAATTATGCTCAAAACTGCATAAGCCAACATATGTATAAAAATAAATATAAAAACATAGTGGTTATGCCCTTAAAGGGTTAGTTCACCCAAAAATGAAAATTAAGTCATTAATTACTCACCCCCATGCTGTACCAACCCCGTAAGACCTTCGTTCATCTTCGGAGCACAAATGAAGATATTTTTGAATAAATTTGAGAGCTGTATCACTACCACATAGACTGCCGGGACTGGCTCTTGACGGCCCAGAAAGTCAATGAAGAAAATGTTTAAATATTCCATGTGACTACAGTGGCTCAACTATAAGTTTATCAAGCGACGAGAATACTTTTTGTGTGAAAAAACAAACAAAAATAACGACTTTATTCTACTATTCCTTTTCTTCCTTGTTGGCCTGAAATGACACTTCAATGCGATTTCCACGACGCATGCGCGTGAACTGAACTGAAGTAGTTGAAGGAGATCGCAATTCTCGCGCATGCGTCGTGGAAATCGTATTGATTGGTAGTTATACAGCTCTCAAATTTAATCAAAAATATCTTCATTTGTGTTCCGAAGACGAACGAAGGTCTTACAGGGTTGGTACAGCATGGGGGTGAGTAATTAATGACTTAATTTTCATTTTTGGGTGAGCTAACCCTTTAAATGAGCTACCTAAAAACAATTAAATGGATAGTTCACCCAAAAATGGTTCAAGTTGCTCCAAACCTGCATGAGTTAGTTTCTTCTGCTGGACACAAAAGAAGATGTTTTGAAGAATGTTGGTAACCAGACAGTTGACTTCTGAATTGTTTGACTGTTGACTTCCAAAGATACAGGAAGTCAATGGGTGCCTTCAATTGCCAGGTCACCAACATTCTTCAACAAATCTTCTTTTGTGTCCAGCAGAAGAAACTAACTCATGCAGGTTTGGAACAACTTGAACCATTTTTGGGTGAACTTTCCCTTTAATCTTTCAAATAGAACCATACTGTATGAGAAGAGCTTTACAGGTAATGCCCTAAATTTAAAGTGAATCAATCAGATTCAAACAAACAACTACACATTCATACTAGACGTATGAATGAACAAATGGATAGTCTACAAACATAAGAAAACAAATTAAACATCCAACATTCTTTCAAACACAGACTAGACATATGCACATTCAAACATTACTGCAAGTTCACTGTTGTCTACTGAAAAGACTTTGAACTTTTAGTGACATCTTTTGCTGTTCAAGCTGCAAGAGAACTTTCTGGAATACCTCGAAAGTAAAACGAAGCGGTTTTGGGTAAGCCAGATTGATGATGTATATCATCCCGAGAAGCAAGGCACAAGCTGATGTGAACGAAGGCAGTTCATTCAAAACTTTAACACCCTCGATGACGACACCTATGTCAGCCGGTGGTTCGTGATGTTCTCCCCCCTCCTTCCGAATAACATACACCGCCATGGTGAACTGCTCCAGCTCACCCTCCCAATCATCTCGCTGCTTATCCTAAAGAAATGTACATAAAAAAAAATAAATAAATAAACATTTTGCAGTCATAACTACAAAACACAAATTTAAACTTTCTGAAAAATCTAAATAGAACATGCAGAATTTCAACTCACAAGGTACTCCTTGATAAGGTCTTGAGGATTTTCGTTAACACTTTAAAATAATGGTCCGTAGTTAACAAGTAGCTATGCAGGAAGTAATAAGTAGTACTGCATTAAAGGGTTAGTTCACCCAAAAATGCAAATTCTGTCAGTATTTACTCACCCTCATGTTGTTCCAACCCCGCAAGACCTTTGTTCATCTTCGGAACACAAATTAAGATATTTAAGATATTAAAATCGCTCCTGCATACAGTCCATAGGCTTCTTGAGGGACTGGCTCTTGCTGTCCCCGAAAAGTCATTAAAGACATCGTTAGGGGCTCAATCTTAAGTTTATCAAACGACGAGAACACTTTTGTGCGAAAAAAAACAACAAAAATAACGACTTTATTTTAACTATTCACTTCCTTCTCCATGAGCCTGTAAGTCAGTTAGCGTAGTGTGATTGCGTAGAGCTACGTCACACGTAGGCTCACTATTGGCCGACGCTGGTCATGTGTGTGTGATGCGTGTGACGTACAATGACAGAAACTTACGCTATTAAACTAGTAACCTGACTCGCGCAGAGGGAGAAATAAACGAATAGTTGAAATAAAGTCGTTATTTTTGTTGTTTTTTTGCGCACAAAAGTGTTCTCGTCGTTTGATAAACTTAAGATTGAGCCCCTGTAGTCACTTGGACTATTTTAACGATGTCTTTAATGACTTTTCGAGGACAGCAAGAGCCAGTCCCTCAAGAAGCCTACGGACTGTATGCAGGAGCGATCTTAATATCTTAAATATCTTAATTTGTGTTCCGATGATGAACGAAGGTCTTACGGGGTTGGAACAACATAAGGGAGAGTAAATACTGACAGAATTTTCATTTTTGGGTGAACTAACCCTTTAACACCGAAGTTAATACTATTAACTAATATGGAAGCAATATTAACTAAGCAGTAAGTAATAGGTAATTTAGTACAAAGGTAGTTCCTTGGTAGGTATTTGATCGTTACTAAAGAAATATATCCTCATTGAGAACTACTTGCGAACTAAGAATTAATAATCAATTAATTACTAAATCACAAAAGTAACATATCTAAAAAGTGAACAATTGTGGGGGTTTTATACTCTTAACATGATCATAACATTTCAGAAGCATGTGCCTCAAATGGGTTCTTTGTGGAAACCAGTTTATGAAGTTTATATATCCCCCCAAATACATTAGCTAGGTTGAGATTGTGACTACTACTCTTGCCAGGATGGACGCATGTTCTCTGTTTATTTAAAACTTAAACATAAAATAATACTAATAAAGACAGTTTTAAAAAAAATAAACCTTAAATAACTAGGAAGTGATGCTGACACTCTCATGATTGGATTAGTCCACTATTATAACTATGTTACAGTAGCTGCCTGAGGAGGACTTCTTTTTAGGACATGAATATAAACATTGATGTTCACTTGTCAAAAACAATTTGTATCTTTAATGAAGAAATTGGCTGCATTTATGTTACAATAAGCGCAAAACCACATCTTCCAGATTACAGTGTTTGTTTGATTATTAGTGCCTCACAGAACCTGTACAGTATGTGTCAAATATAAAATTAAATAACTTGTGTAAACATTGTGGGATGACAAGGTAACGCTTGTAGTTAGTTAGGAGTTAACATGTTTTTCACTTTAAAATAATAGGCCACATCACTAGTAGTTCCTGCGGGATGACAAGGTAACGCTTAAGTAGTTATTGATGAGTTAACAGGTTTTTCACAAATGATACAAGTAATTTAATTTTATATTTGACACATACTGTACAGGTTCTGTGAGGCACTAATATTCTAACAAACACTGTAATCTGGAAGATGTGGTTTCGCGCTTATCGTAACATAAATGCAGCCAATTTCTTCATTAAAGATGCAAATTGTTTTTGACAAGTGAACATCATGTTTATATTCATGTCCTAAAGAGAAGTCCTCCTCAGGCAGCTACTGTAACATAAAGTTATAGGTCTTTGGAGTCTGAGATATATGTGACTGACATTCAATAGAGCTCATAATAGTGAACTAATCCAATCATGAGAGTGTCAGCATCACTTCCTAATTATTTAAGGTTTATTTTTAAAAACTGTCTTTATTAGTATTATTTTATGTTTAAGTTTTAAATAAACAGAGAACATGCGTCCATCCTGGCAAGAGTAGTAGTTCTCAATGAGGATATATTTCTTTAGTAATAATCAAATACCTACCAAGGAACTACCTTTGTACTAAATTACCTATTACTTAATGCTTAGTTAATATTGCTTCCATATTAGTTAATAGTATTAAGTTCGGTGTTAATGCAGTGCTACCTATTACTTCCTGCATAGCTACTTGTTAACTACGGACCATTATTTTAAAGTGTTACCGGATTTTCCCCCAGGAAAACGATGAGGGCCTTCAGGACACTCTTCTTTCCGTGTGAATGTTTTCAGTCTGTGAAAAAGCATTTGTGATTATTTTTCTTATTTTTAAAATTCGGAGTAATCTGTAATGGAGAATCAGATTTCCCCAAGGATAGCAAAGGACAAGAAAATATAAACAAAACTTAATTTACAAAACTATAAAAGGTTGTATTAATGACTGGACAAAGTATATACATCACAGAAGTATAAAAAAAAATCATTATTCAGATATAAACACTGATGTCTACGTTACCGTTCAAAACAGAATTTTTTTTAGGTTCACCTCAAAGAACATACACAGAGAAGTCAAAAATTAAAGATGATTGAATGACTCATAAATGTAAGTACACATTGATGGCCTAAGAAACGAAACAAGCGGTTTGTGTGAGAAAACGAACAGTATTTATATCGTTTTTACCTCGTGTAACACAGCCATGACAAAATGAACTGACGGCATGGGCGCTTCGGTCTGCGCACGCGCCGGAAGTGATCGCTTGCAAGTCAACGTCACTCATTGTTTACACAGAGATTTCAGAAGTTTTACCTTTCACTAAACATATTTAGATATATCGAAATAATCTTCCATTGCATTGCATGCTCTTTGAGGTGGTGACCATAGACCTGCATTATATGACTGATAGACAACGGTTTGACCGAAAAATATCAAAATTGAAAATACTGTGGAAACAAAGACATCTTGGATGCCCTGCCTTGAGGTAAGCTAAAACACACCAAAAATTAATTTCAAAGTGAACTATTCCCTTTAAATCAGCCAGTACTTGTGCACCTTTTACATGCACAATACATGTCACATCATAATCATTTTGAGCTTCAAAATTGGTTTACACTGTATAAACTAAAAAAAGATATTTCTGAGAATCAAAAAAGGCACATGCATTCGGGATGTCATAAGGGTGAGTTGATGCCAATTTTAGTTCTTAATTCTTTTAGTTTTAGTTCAAAATTCTTAATTAGGATAAAATGCAAGTCAATAGCATTAGACAACATTAGATGGAATTTACTCAAACATGTCCAACATTAGTAATTCATATTATCTATTATCAATAGAAGAAATTAGAAATTACTTAAATTAATAGAAAATACTTACCATGTAATGTTATAGCAAAGTGTCGTCCTCAATCGTCAAACTTGAAAAAGCTTTCGGTCATAAGGAGAGAAAAATGTTGTATCATTAGTATTTAACTTAAGTGGTAAAAAATAGTTTGCTACAGGTCAAGTAATTAATTAGTTGTGAAATACTACTATTTTCTACAAAAAAAATCATAATTTTAAAGAAAACCCCGATTTGTTTTCCTGCATGAAACACCTCGAGCTAGGCAAATTAAGCTAGCGTTAAGCACAGGCCACAGATCAGGGAATCAGGTAACGTTAACGTTAATAATGGGCTGACTCCCTGATCAGTGCCCTGGTTAACTTAATGAACTGATTGAGATGCACCCAATGGCGTTTATCACAGACTTTCAGCATCATTTTGGGCGAAAAAAGTCGATGAATAAGTCAGAGCTAACGTTTCAAAGACAAATAAAAGAACAGACAAAAAATAAAACTCAAATATTGTACTGCAGGAATTCAAATTCGAGCATTTTGTCCCGCTCCCCGACCACTTCCCGCCCAAAGCATTTCCAATTTCTCACGCGGCACAGACGGTTATACTTTTTTAAACTATTTAATAACTGTTACACAAGTCCCAAGATCCAAACTGAACACATTTTTATAAAACAAACGAGTTAAGTTAAAGATAACATCATGTTTAACGTTAACTTGCATAGAACTATTCAGTAATGCTAGTTTGCAAACGTACGTTTAAAAATGTGGTTAATTGCGATTTTGTTAGTATTCATGTTCACAAACAACATTCATTAACTCATAAACAACTAAAACAAACGTCCAAAAGTTGCATATTTGAGTATATTAATTAAAAAACAAAACTTCCAACCTACCTTATTCATCCGAGTGCGAAAAAGAAAATGGCGGTCGAGCAGAAAGTTCCAGACAGGCTCGTGCGTCATGACGTCAGCAAAAAAACGTCTGACGCGAGGGTCCTTAAAGGGAAATTACACTTTGGGTGAAAGCGAGATATCTGAGTGTCTGTGAATTTCTATGCGTTCAAGTTGAATGAGTGTACAATAATCAATTACGATTAGGAAAGCAGAAATACGAAGTAAATAGACTCAAATAGTTCTAGTAATCCAACTTACACCCATATTCACTTTTTACAGTGTATTTAGCACCAATCACCGGACATTTCACTATGAAGTGAACATTTTTTGTTTCAATCAAACTGAGCAGTTTCATAAAACCACATCTGCAATAGAGAATAAACCTGTATCGCTTGTAATGCCTCTTGTGGATATGTCACCTGTAAATGTAGTCACTTATTTTTTAATAGGCCTGGGTTGGATAGTTCATCCGAAGATGAAAATTCTAAAACTTCGACTCAAGTTTTTTTTTTCCTCTTTAAGAAAATACTAGTCAGTGGGAAGTCCAATGTTGGTTTGGACTCTTTTAATTTTCATTGTTTAGACAACAACAACTACAACAAAACTCCTTCAGAATATCTTATGTTGTAATCTGCAAAAGAAAGAAAGCCATATAGGTTTGGAGTAATTATGACACAATTTTCATTTTTTGGTGAACTATCCCTTTAAAGCATGCATTACCTTTATGCCAGGCTGGAATATTTAAGAGACCTTAATTGCGCGCCTCCTTTGTTGCATGTAAAAACAAATTCCTCAGGAGGTACCCTTAAGGGCACAGTAAATAGCATAAAAATCAGTGATGATGCAAGTCACATGCTTCTTA